CTTCCCACTCCACCACGACATGAATGCGCCAAGTCACTCACTATGGGACACTCTCAGCCACAGGCCCAAAGAAGGAGGCCTGGAGTTATACCAGACTCAGTCTTCCCAACCCCCATGAACCCTCCGGCTTCACAAACCAGCATTGGTTGTACTCAGGATCTCTAGTGAGGTTAATCCATCAGAATAAACATTAACAATTCATTCCATTCTGCCTCAGCCCCTCAGCACTGGAGAGGCAGGCACCTAAAAGAAGGTGAGAAGAAGCCAGACAGAGGGTGGTAGGGCAGAGACAAGCAGCTCTGGGAACTCTCCCTGGGGATTCTTAGAAGGTTACAAGAATAGGAGGGATGTGATCCAGGGCATCCAAAGGATAACTGTCACTTTGTATAAATATGAGACTGTGTCCCGCCCAGGGTGTGAACCTGATGGCAGGAGCCATGAGGTCAGGTCTTGGGGCGGAAGAAATAGGGAACCCTCTCGGCAGGGCAGCTCCTAAATCACTCTGGGCAAAGGAAAACGTCCCCAGGGCCTCGAGCTGAGCTTGGCCAACATCTCGAAGGTCAGCAAAGCCATAAATCAACTGCATTTGCACCAAACAGATCATGAAGAGTTATTCTGAAAATGACTTGGCCAAAAGAATTCCCTGGAACTGAATCAACTCAAAGAGCACAAACAGGGAAGTGGGAAATGCCATCGTCCTCCTCCTATCCCCAAGACACGAAGGCTTCAGGCCCTAGGCCAGCGTGCTTGCTCAGGACAGTATTCATGGCCTGGGGGTCCACAGGGTGATGGGTCTTCCCTGAAAGAGCCACTTGGCCTCCACTTGACCTCCACTTGGCTGCTCCTGGGAGTGAGTGGCCTCCTGGGATCCGTCACCCCTCCCAGGAGCCAGGGCCTGCACAGGTTTCGCAGCAACAGAATGAGACTTGATGCTCATGTGGAACACACAGGTTCAGGACTCACATTACCCAGGGGCAGCCAGGGAGTTGGCCCATGAGGAGTTTCTCTCAGTTAAACCTGCATGCTTGCATAAAAGGAAAGAAGTCTGGAAGAACCCATGTTTTGGTGTTATCAGATGACAATTCAAAATGCCTGAATTTTCTGCATATCCAATATGTTTTTATATTGGATTTTTTTTGCATGTCACCAAAATTATCAACTGTAGAAGATCTAGAAAAATAGAGAAAAACCAAAAGGGAGGGAAAATCACCTGACATCATAATTCCACCATCCAGCTATATTCTGATAGCCTCTTGGGGAGTTTACTTTGGTTCTTTTCTATAAATATAATATGTATTTATAATAACAAAGAGAGCATATGGTATTCTCTTTTTTTTTATAACCTACTTTTCTGCTCCACAATATACACTCAATACTTTCTATGTCATGAAGGTCCTTATAAAATGTCATTTTAATGGATTAGAGCATTTGTGGCCAAGGGGGCCATCAGGTGCTAGGTCTTCTCTGCAACAGCCATTGCAGCCAAGAGAGGTACCATGTTTCATTTAACTCCTTCCTTCCTTTGGGGTTGCCAATCAAAACACATCTCTCTCTAGGCCACCACACATACATTGTCATGAGAAGGGCTCTCCATGTGCATCTACACCATGCAGACATTCAGCCCTGCGGTGCTTTCCTGCTCCCAGGAAATAAGGTGCTGCCCTGTGAAATGTTTGGGTCAATGACATGGAAGCAGCAATGATACTGGGCAGAAACTTGAAGGAATAGTGCACATTTCAGAACGTTCCCTTCGCACCAGGGAGCTGGAAACATACCCTCCCTTGACCTGGAACTCCATATGCACTGCCCCAGCCACCTTGTGAAGAGCATATTGCATGTGAACCATTGGGATTCAGGACTGTGTTGTTTCTGTAAAGTATCCTCCCTTGTCCTAACTGACAGGGCTGTTGAAGAGACAAGTTTAAGACAATCCCACACCTTAATTACAGGTGGCCTAGTTGGGGAGGTCCACCCCAAGTGATGGAAGAGTCCAACAGTGAGTAACAAATAACCACTCAAAGCAGAGCCATTGTAAGGGTGCCCCAGAGCAGCATGGCAGAGTTTGACCCCAGAAAGGATAGCTCTGAAGCAGTCTGAGGGGCGGGCCTCCCAGTGCTGGGATGGCTGGTGCAGACTTCCTGGAGGAAGGGCAGAGAGGCCTCGAAAAGATGGGGAGGTTTGTGGGCCAGGTGGTTGGGACTGAGGAGAGGGGCAAAGGGGGTTATGATGGAGGAGAACATGGAGCCCAGAGGACAGGCAGGGAGATGATTTGGCACAAAGCAGGAGACTTGAGGAAATGAAAGCCGGAGACAGCCTGAGAGGGAGGAAGGAGGCAGACAGGGCCAAGTCCCTGCTGCAAGAGGAACCTCAACCCTCTCCTGTGATTCCTGGGCTTTGCTTCAAGGGAAAATGCCTCCCTAACTGCCTCCTTCAGGAATGGCACCTGAGGAGCCCCCTGCGGGAGCTTACTGTGGCCAGTTGTGATCATGAGCACTCTGCATTCAAGAGTCAGTTTGCAGATGAAGTCGGGCCTGTCATGTTTGCCAATCCTGTTTGAACCATCACGCCCAACAGCTGCAGGTGCTGACCGCACTTCATTCTTATCAGTTAGCATCAATCAGTGTCACCCAGTCAGTCAATGCCAGTCCATATCAGTCAGTATCTGTCAGTCAATTTCAGTGTCATCTAGCCACTTGTGAGTCATCGGGTCAATGTCACTGAATCTGTGTCAGTTAGTCAGTCCACCCATGTGGGTGTCAGTGTCCGTCGGTCAGTGTCTGTCAGCCAGTATAAGCATGACACTCACTTGACCTCTGACCATGAGGCCCATTTCCCTTTTTATTTGTTTACCCAGCACCTTTCCTATTTCTGGGAATTAAGATCGGTGTGTCCCTCTTCCTGAAGATAGAACTCGGGACAAATTAATTCCTGAGCTGGGTCAGGCCCCTAGTTTCCAGCTGGGCCTCCGGCAGCCAGGTGAGCTACCAGGATTCTGGGAGCTTTCTGAGCCCTGTTCAGAGGGGAGTCGAAGGGCTGGTGGTGCTCATCTGAGCCCAGCTCTAGGACTGGCACAGTTACCAGGTGATACCTCAAGCCCCACAGCAGCAGGCTGGCCCTTCTGCCTTCCTCCCATGGAAGGCTGTGCTGTCTGTGGATGGGCGGACTCCAGGGAGGCTCTTCCTAACCCAGCTCTTCTTTTTCAAATAGGACCAGAGCTGAGTGGGGGGAAGGATGGGCCCTTGGCCCAGTACCCAGCATTAAACTTTATTGTGGGTGTGTGTTTTGTCTGCCTGAACAATACCCCCCTTTCTTTAAGAGAACTGCTCATTCCCTGCTTGCACCCCAGTCTTCCCTGTGGGCTTGTGCAGGAGCTCACAACCACACACAGGCCCTCATTCTAACCAGAGGTGGGAGTGAGACCCAGTCTGGATTAATCTGAGTACTTCCTTATCCCACAGTGATTGGGCCAGGGATGGTCACGTGACCCAAGCCCAGCCACTCGGAACCCTTCCCCAGAATTTCTCAGAAGCTGCCTCCTAAGTCCTTTAGCTGGAAGGATATGTGCTGGCCAGCAGAATGGCCCTCATTGTGTAGGGAAAGCTTAGAAGGAGACAATAAACAGAAGGAAACAGGTGCAGAAGGAAACAGACAAGAGGAGACTGACAGAGTTTCCAGCAGCTAATTCCAGTCAACCCCACAGCTGCCTCCATCCCTGGCCCCCTGCCATTTGGTTTTGTGAACCACAGTTGTAGCCAAAGAACCTTGCCTAATACAAACAGTATAACTGCTGCCAGTTTTAGGCATCTGACCCATTCGGAAGTAGATGAACCAGTTTGGGATCTTCCCAAGCCCCACAACTTCTGCCAGGGAGCCCCTCAGTCCTCAGGTAGATAGAGTGGGCAGACCCTCAAGTAGAGGCCTGGCCCCAAAGCTCCTGCCCCCAAAGCTCATGGCCTTTCCTAGCTGGTAGGTGTGTGCATCCTGGGCTCTGACCTCCTTCACTCAGTGTTTGTTATGAACACACTGTAGGAATTGAGGCTGTCCTTTTGCTTACCTTGTTGGTGACTCCAGGTCAGCTGGCTTATTAGGCATATGACCTGTGCAGTGATCACACAGGGTCTTGCCCTTAGAAGTACCTCATGCTGTTCTGCTGCCATCATCTTGAAATTCTTAACCATTTTGAACAAGGGGGCCTCATTTTAATGTTGCACAGAGCCCCACAAACTATGTAGCTGGTCCTGGCTCCATGCAGTCCCTCCTGGTGGGATTTGTTATGTACGCGAATTGCTCCAGCTCCCACAATCTCTGTCTCCATTGGCCCCGTCTTGTGTCTTCCATATTCCTTAATGCCATTGGCTTCCCTCACTCCCCACCCCTCCATAAGTTCTTTCTTCCCAGAATGCAGCACATTTGTGGCCTCCTTCAAACAGTGGCCTCCTTCAAACTGGACCCACCCCAGCTGGTAGCTGGCTCATTGCTCTCCATCTGAGAGAAAATAAAAAATCCAGGCTGGAATTCATTTTATTTGGAACAATGCCGAAATGAGGCTTTTCTTGCTTCTACCCTTGAACCACCAACATTCTGCAATTTGGCTTCGAACCTTCCAGACAGAGTCCTCTGGGAAGGCTGAGCTGGGCAAACACAGGACAGCCTGAGCTCCTCTGAGAGGGCAGGCAAGACCTCTGCTGCAGGTTTCCACAAGAAGGACTGCTTTGTAGGTCTGCAATGAGGATTTGAAAGTCTAGCAATCAGGTGAGCGTCTGGGTCCTTGGAGATAGCCTGCTGAACAGCCAGCAAAGGTGTGTGCCTGGCTCCTTCTCCGAAGGAGGGAAAAAAGTGGATTCTAGCCTCTCACATCCACTCCCAAGGGAGGAATAACATTGAACAGCAGCTGTGAAACCAGCCATGGCCCCAGGCTTCACACCCGGGGGGACTGACTGTGAAAAACCAGTGGAGGAGGGAAGTGGAGGGAGAAACTGATACACAATTTGACAACGGAGTCCAGGTGTGGTAAAAGTGATTTATTTCTGGAACACAGTAACAGCTATGCAACTAGGAACATTCCATTTACCGGCCCCATCCGTGTTTTTGTGTCACAAAGACATACTAAGACTTTGGAAATTTTCCAAAGGGGATTACACTTGAAATGTGCTGTTTCTTCACTTTTTTTTTTTATTTGTCTTAATCACAGCAAACCAAGGAAAATAGCTTTACAGCTTACTAAAACTCAAACATATCCTCATAGGAAGCAACTTAAACATTCCCAACTGTAAATTAGCAATGCAGTGATTCCCCATCAAAAGCCAGGGAAACACAAAGCAGCTCTAACACTGAGCTTATCTTGTCCATTGTGAGGAAAATCTGAATGATACAGGATGATAAAGCAACACTGCAGGTGCAGCGTCCACTGGGAAAAAGAGGTAGGGGACAGATCTGGCTGAAACCATATTGAGAATCTGATTTTTGTTTGCTTGTTTATTTTTCCTTGTTTATTTGGTTGTTTCAGCACTAGGGATTGAACCAGAGACCTTATGCCTGCTAGGCATGTACCCTGCCATTGAACTGCATCCCTAGCCCATTTTTAAAATTTGAGACAGAGTCTAGCTAAGTCATCGCAGATGCTTCAAACATGCATTCCTCCAGCCTCAGGCTCCCTGAGAATCTGACTTAAAAAGAGGAAGAAATCACAGGAAGGCATAACATTGCTTATATCTCCACAGAGCAGCATTTACCATAAATGAGAGGGCTTATAATAACCTAGAAATCCACCAGAAAGAGTTTCCCAGTGTGTGTGCCAGATAGCAGGAACTTGCAGGTGTTGGGGACTGGATCTCCACCGGCGGGTGCCTCACCTGCTCTCTGGATGGCTGAGTTACCAAGTCTGCAAATGCACAACCTGGAGAGCTGCCACTGTACAGAATGGGTGGGTGCCACCCGGCAATGCCAGGGCCCCTGAGGATGCAGGCGTCCAGGTCTAGTGGCACTGTCTCATTTCTTGTCTCTAGCTAACAGGTGGGCCTCTTTCCCCTAAGCCCCAGAGCAGTAGCAACCTGAAGAAGCAACACAAGTGGGAAGTGGTATAAACCTCCAGGAGAGCCCAGCTCTCCACTGACTCACCTGGAGGCTTTTGAGGGGAAAAAAAAAAGCCTGATTCTTGGACACCTGTTTATTTTAAGTGTGGCTTAGAAGGGCTTGTTCTGGAAACTACCATGATGGATGACTGAAAAAAAAAAAAACAGAGGCAAAACCCTGAGTGAAGCAGTGTGTGTGTGTATGTGTGTGTGTGTGTGTGTGTGTGTGTGAGATGTGTTATATTTGAGTGTGATGCTTGGTGTGATATGTGTGTGGAAAGCGGGTGAAGTCCTCATGAGCAGACCCTCAGGATCACATACACCTTAGCCCAGCCCAGCCACACAAGGCTAGGTTCCCCTTGTGAGGGAGGTTAGCAATAGCCAACTTCCAGATAGCAGAACCTCCCCAGGCCACCTGACTACATCTTTCAAACATTTCTTGAGGCAGTGAAATGCAAGATTCTTTAGGAGTCTCTATCAAACTTTTGACCATGACCCAAACTAAGCTTACACATTAAAGAGAGTTGATACGCAGTCTGAGTACATGGATTGTCTATGATAGTTCCTATTCTGCTGTCTGTGTGTAGTGGTGACCCACTTGTGGACACCCCTTCTACCGAGACACAAACACAGCTTTGTTTAGAGCTTGGTGTGGTGACGCAGCCCTGTAATCTCTGCAACCCCAGAGGCTGAGCCAGGGGATCACAAGTTCTATCCTAGGTGGTTTAACGAGACTCAAGTCTCCACATTTTAAAAAGGGTTGGGGATATAGCTCAGTGGCTGGGTTCAATCCCCAGTATCCAAAACAAACAAACGAAAAACAAACGCTTTGTCTTGGACAAAGCACTGGAGCTGCAGTAAAACCTGCAGTCTTCCAAGCACATCAGAAACCACTCCCTCCACACTGCAGGCCCAGACCTCAGTGACAATCCTCAAGTGAGCAACGGGAAGCAGGCTCCCCTGACCATTTTACCCGATGGCAGGGGAGGGGGCTGCTCAGGCCCAGGCTGGCAGCTGTTTGTTCACCAGCCCAAGCGGCAAGGCCATTCCGTGCCGTGGATGGGTCCCTTAGGGTTTTCCCAATCGCGCGTCAGCCCTTTGGGATCGCTGCATGAGAATGATGATCCTGGCCAGGTCGGAGAGGGCGGGGAAGGACGCCATCACGCTGTCCACCTGGTCCGGAGGGAAGACGCTACAGAGCGCAGTGCGCTCATGGGCGCGAGCGTCCACCTCTCTGTCCACGGCCCTGGGAGCAGACCCCAGAGTTCCCCCAAAGGCGCCGTCGCCCCAGGACGGCTCCGCCCAGACCGAGCCACCCAGAAAGTGCTCGGATCCGGACAGACCGACCCACGGGTCGTCGGGAGGTCTGCGCTGGGGAAGCAGGTCACCGCGCAGGTCCCTGGGCCCAAGTCCGCCCCGCGGCTGAACTTGCGGCGACGGGAGGTCGCCGGGGACGAAGGGGCTCTGCGGTCCTGGGAGGCTGCGCAGGCCCGGCGCCAGCGCCCCAGGGCCGGGAGGCCCCGGGGTGGCAGAGATGCCCGCCGGCGAGGAGGAGGGCCCGGGCGCCCAGTCAGAACCGCGAGGCCCGAGCGCGAAGCCGCCGGCGGGGTCGTCGCTGAACGCCAGCCTCGAGAAGCTCGCGCGCAGGGCGGCCAGGTCCGCGGCCCCCGGCGCCCGCGGGAGGCAGTGCGCGCCGGGTTCCCGGGGGAGCGGCCGGGCTGCTGCGGGGCCGCCCCGGGCGCTCGGCGGCCGCGGCTCCTCGGCGCCCCCGCCGGGCCAGGCCCGCGTCTTGGCCCGGAGCTCATCAGCCACAGCCAGCTGCGCGTGGTGCGGCCTCTCAGGGTGGTAGAACTTGCACTTGATGCCGTAGGTGCATTTCTTGCCTGGAGGGGCAGGGCAGAGAGGACGCGGGTTGAGAGCGGGCGTGGAGAAGCTGTGCGCACAGCCTCTGGTCTCTCTCCATGGAGATTCCTCCCAGAAGGCCCCCAGACCACCTCAAACTCTGCCTCCTTAGCTCCCCAGAAGGGCCTGAAGATCTGGACTGGTGACTAAAGGGGGAAGGGTTCTGGAGCATGGGCAAAATGTCTCATGGCACATGGGGCACAATAACTCCCAAGGTCTGCAGAGTGAGCATCTGTGCAGGAATTCCCTCTGACCAGGGTCTGACACCAAATTCCTGGATTTGATGACCTTCAGCCTGTACTTCCTAGGGGACCCTGTGCATAGGACCGACCTTGAAGATGTGTGGGGAGCAGGTGCCCCATGGTACAGGACTGCTCTTCCAGTGCTGCCACAGTTTCCACCACTGTCTGCATCCCTGATACTGACCACTGTCCTCTCCCTACACACTGTTCTAATAGAGGTAGTCAAATGACAAATAATTGATCATCCAAGCCCAGGCATTTTAGAGCTTAATGGTCTAGCCTGAAGTATGGTTACCTTCATTCTAGCCAAAAAAAAAAAAAAAAAGGCTTTTGAGTGCCATCCAAGGTCTTTAATTAGACTTCTGGAAGCACAAAACCAAGACCTGGAGTCATTGACTAACTTGCCAAAGCAGGTTAAAGAGCTTGCTAGAAGGTCATTCTGGATAAAATCCTTGACTTCATGGATAAGGTGTATAAGGGCCTGGGGGAACCGTGGTGCAGGATGAAGACATGAGGTGTGAGTGGACCAGGTGAAGAGACTGAGAACTGAAGCTGGCACCCCCACCTCCCTGCTTCTCATACACAATACAGCCGTGCCTGTGTCTGAGTCCTACGTCCAGCCCTCACACGTTCCTGTCAGGAAGTAGCAGTCCAGAGGAGCTAAGCTATCTCTTCAGGGTCACACAGCTGGTTAACTTGAGCTGGAACCCAGACTGCTGACTGTCAGGCCAGGACTTCTGGGCTGCCCCACACCAGTCCCTGAAAAGGGCCCATGAGGCCCAGGGGGCTACACACCATAGGGGCAGTGCTGCCAGGATGGCTCTGGAGGCCTCGGCTTCCTGCTCAGGAAGTTGCTCAGAGTGGGTCCACGTCGGCCCAGGGGGTCATCAGGAGGCATAAATCTAGAAAATAAGCACAGAGGGGCAATTGCAAGACCACAGTGGGACTGGCCACTGGCATCTATATGGGGGTTGAAGCCACCCAGAAAACACCAAATGACATAGACCATCCGTCCCCACAGAGGGTTGTCATAGCATCTTAAAAAGCACACCCTTTCTCTACTGAGCCCACGCAGAGCACAGCACCTCTCCCTGAAGCTCCTGCTAATGTGGTGCAAGCCAGCAGGATCAGAGTCACCTGGAAACTTGTTTAAAATGCAGCCTCTGGCTTCCTCCACACCTCCTTCATCAGACTCTGAAACTGTTAAGGACTCTGTATTTTAACAATTTTTTATCCAGGAAAATTGAGGTATAATTGCTCCAGGCTCACCGCAGCTTCCCGTTGTCCTGATACAAGATTAGGAACCTCTATGGGGTTAACAGCTCATGGAAGGATTTGGACTTGTACCAGCAACTTGAAGCTTGGGCCCCTATGTCCTATGGGCCTCACACCATAGCAGTCTCAGCTCAGGGCATGTGCAGGCCAAGGGTCAGCACTGCAGAGTCTGAAACACCAGCAGTGAATGGGCGAAGATGCAGATTCAGAGCCCGCTGCACACGGTGCCTCGGCACCAATGGCCTGACCTCTGCATACCCCAGAGGCTCCAAGCTTGGTCTCAGCTCCTGAGGCTGCCACACTCTGCACGGGAGGTTTTCTGATACCAGTTTTCCCCCTGCCTGCCCCTCCTCCTCCCCGGCGTGGAGCCCTGACAAGAAAGGGAATGCACCCTCAGTGTGCCTAGGTCTCAAAGGGGAAAACAAAATTCCTCAGAAGGAAGACTCCCATTTAGTGAGATACATCTTTTTCAATGGATGCTCCTGTTCCCGCCAGACACTTCCAGACACTTCCACAAATCCATACAAAGGATTTCTAAATGGTGGAGGGGCTGTTTTCATGAGTTGCTGCCCGCCCCCCCACAAAAAGTCCAAGAGTCATGCTGAGGTCCCACCCTGCAGAGAGCTGGGCGATTCCAGGCTCAGCACAGCCTCTGTGGCTCAGCTCCCAGCTACACAGCGGGCTTCTCAGAGTTGGGTCCTGACCAAGAATCTGGGGAGCCGCCCACTGCGGTTATTAAAAGTTCCCAAAGGCTTCGCCTCCTGTTCCCTCAGGAGCCGGAACTGTGCCAAGAGGGCCCTGTGGACGTGCCCAGGACACCAGGGTGAGTGACCTCACTCATAAGCAGGCAGGCCCTGCCTTCTGGCTGCCCCTGAGCAGAGGCCAGTGCATCAGGAGGACTTGGCCTGGGCCACGGACTGTCACCAGGCCAGCAGCAGCCATGACCCACCAGCCCTCAATGAGGATTTCTGGAACCCACAGTGACCAGACTTGCCAGATTCCTCTAGGCCAACACTGGACAGGGAGAGCCGCTGGCCTTGTGCATCTGGAAGCAACAATGGGGTTACTGCAGGGTGGCTGCTGCCGAGCACCTGCCCTAGGGCTCAGGAAAGCAGCTTCACCTCCTCTGCTGCAGGAGCAGGCGGTGGAGGACATCCTGGTCTGGCCTGGGAGTAACTGCTCTTATGTCTGGGGCACAATTCTCTCTAGGCTCATGATAATCTCACAGGTACTATTACTAATCCCTTCTCAAGGTGAAGAGTCCCCGAGGTGACTGATTGCCCCATGCCACACCACCTCGCAGGGCAGGGGCTCAGTTGGAAACCTCCACCACACCACACTGCCTCTCTGCTGCTGTGTTGGGGGCAGGTGGCCTGAGCCCAGCCCACAGGGCCCTCCTCTCCCCTCCTCCTCCTCTTCTTGGAGCCACATGCTCACCCATGCACTCACATGCTCATTCACTCCTGTACCACCAGTTAGGAGACTTGGCAGGTAGACAGTTACAGTCCCTGCCCTACACATTCTGAAAGAGCCCAGAATGAGAGCTGAACCGTCAGTGCCTGGAACACTAACTGCAGTGGGAGCCCAGGCTGCTGTGTGCTGCACCTGTCCAGTCCTCAGACAGGCCCCCTGTCCAGGCCCCAAGGTGCCTGCCCCAGCAGAAGATGAGCCATCAATTCCTCCCCACCTTTGCTTAGGCCAAGGGCTTTCCGGTTTGTGCCTTGCAATCCTGATGTCCTTTCCCTTCCCCCAGCAGTAGCAGGTTGGTCCCAGGCTTGCCTAACTCAGAGGACCAACCTACGGACTAGGCAAACCAGTAGGTTCTCCTGACTGTTTCAACCAAGAGCTGTGGGAACAGTCTGTTCCTGGCAAGTTAAGATCTTTGCAGCCCAAAGAAAAGATCTGTTCTACTGCACATTCCCACATGTAATTAAAAACTTAAAAAAAAAAAAAAAAACTTGAAATAAGTGAATGGAAATACAACAGAGTTCAATATTTTCCCATGGTGGCTATTCCAGAATTCTTATTTAAAAGATTAAGTTCTAAAACAAAAAAGTTTGTGGTGGGCTAAGCATCCGCAGCTTTGCAGTGACTCAAGTAGATGTGACCCTGGGAACTTCAAGGTCAAGGACAAACTGCCTGTGGAGAAAAGGGCCTAAGAGAGAAGACACCCAGAGAGACAAGTGACAGGGCAGCCTGGGATGGCCGAGTGGGTGAGCTCAGGTTGACTGTGTCTGCAGGTCTGGATGTGCCCACCATCAGGAGCCCGCTTTGCCAGGACCTGGGAGTGGCTTTCTGCCTTATCCCCAGTCCCCCAGACCCCTAGGCCCCATACCTATCATTGACAAAGGAGAACATGAGTAGCCTCTGCTCAATAAACCACTTCCACTCTGGGTTCTCATTCTGCAGGTCACGGTAGTTGTCATTGGAGACGATGATGCCATCCTTCTCGTAGGCCACCTTTACGATGTAGCGGTCGTCATAGCAGACCACCCGCTTGCCGTTCACCTTGCGGGACGGGGTGTAAACCAGCACTGCCTGTCGCTCCAGTTCCTCCAGGACGTGCTGCTCTGGGGCCACACACGGAGAAGCACATGAGGTCTTTGGGAAAGGACACTCGCCCCACAGACCAGGGACCTCCTTGAGCCTTCCTGCCTTCCCCCAACCCCAGCTGGTTAGATGGGGGCAGGGAGGTTTTTCAGGGAAGGGAAAAAAACACCAGTTGCCACCCCCCCCCCATTCCCTAATGTTCATTTCTTTCATTAAATTTCACTGAGTTTACCAGTGGCCCAAGGTCAAGGAGGCTCTTGGCTTGGGTCCTGCCCATGATGGAGAACAGAAAATGGTACCCAACAAGGGAGAGCCCCTTCCGAAGGAAAATTTTAGCCTCAGCCCTGCTGTTTTCAGAGTTACAAGCCACATTGGCCCGACTATAGCAGACAGAGGCCTTCTGGAGAGGGATGCTCCTGTTTGAAGTGGAACCCAGTGAAGCTTTAACAATGATTAGCAGCCTGGCTTCCACCCGCAAGTTTCCTGTGAGAGCCCTTCAGTGTAACCACGGATCCACCTTCCCTACCACTCAAGAATCTGCTTGGCCAACATTGAATATCCCACAACCAACATCTCTGAGTGACTCGAGAATGTAATGGAAGAGTCTGGAGCTAAGAATGCACAGGATGCTGGGCTGAGCTCCAGTCTTTATCCCTCCCTAATGTCAGATGTTACCTTCATAAAATGAACACAATAATGTCTCCTTTACCTTTCTCACAATGCTTGTGAGTAGCCTGAATTAAGCTCAGGTGTGGGAGAGTTTTTGCAAAAACTAGGAAGGAAATGGACATGTGTCACTGGTATAAGTATCTCCAGGTCTTTCCTATGGGATTGAAGTTGGCGTCCCAGGAAAGTCTAATGTTTGGTCTTAGATTTGCCTTTGGAGACATGCAAGGAAAATCCCTGCCACACATAATAGTTATTTGGCACTTAGAAGAGTATTAGCATATTCTTTATATATTTTTCTTCCCTCTAGTCTAAGTACTTTCAAATCTGACATGATTTCCAGACTTGAAAAAAGATACAGAATGCATTTGTGGAACAAAGTACAATAATAATAATAATGTTGTGGACTTTGAGAAGCAGAAGGTGGGGTCATGCTCGGGAAGTCCCTAGTGCCCCTCCCAGTTGACAGTCCGCTCCATTCCCCTCAAGATGGCCCACGTTCTGCAACTGAGTGTTTATAATTCCTTTACTTTTATTTTTAGAAATACATATGTACAAGGACAATTTTCATTGTGGTGACAAATCAGACCCTACACAAGTGGCACCATCCTACACAGGCACTTGCCCTGCTGCTGTTTTCATTGTGCATTGTGTTTTTGAGGTTTGGTCACATGGCCAATATGTTCACTGCTATTAGTTTTTATGTAAGTCCCTGGCACAGAAGTCCAAGGAACTCTCCAGAACATGTCTCTAAGAATTTTCCCAACTTGGTGAGTACAAAACAGTCTCTTATAGTGGTTTTATTTTGTGTTTCTCTGGATACTAATGAGATTGAGCACGTTTCCTGTTTTTATTGGCCATTTATGTTTTCTCTTCTGCAAAAGCCTTATTCATGCTTTAGCTCATCATTTTATTGGTTCATTGATCTTGTCTCATTAATTTGGAGAAGTTCTTCACAGATGCCCCAGTTTGAAGTTGACCCTTTTTTCTTTCCTTCCTTCTTTTGTTTCCTTCTTTTTCTTTTTTTTATGGTAGCTCTTAATGAACAGAAGTTTTTATTATGTAGTCAGATTTATTTATCTTTCTCCAATAGAACTGCTCTTGTTGTAGTTTGTTAAAAGTTCCTTCTCTACTCCAAAATAATTTTCCCCGTTCTTTACCTATACTGTATTTCAATATCACATAACTGAATGGCTTAAACCTACCAGTATCCTTGTTTAGAGCATAAAGAATTCTTTGGGTAACCAATTCCTGATGGAGAACAGAATGCAAGTATGTATCCCTCTCTCATAAATCCCATTGAAATGACAGTTTAAAAGGTGGGAGATCCATAATCACATTTAAAATGGGCTTGAAGACAGCAGTAAAGCCAGGGTTTGGACAAATTTTAAGAAGATAGAAAGCAGGGAGGGACATAGTAACCCTACAGCATGGAGGGACCACAGCCCAGAGTGTGGAGAAGATTGAAGCAGACATGGGAGTCATTTCCCCTGTGAAGCTGCAAAACACTCTAGGCGTGGCCTGGGTGGTAGGCGGGCTGAGGCAGGATGGCTAGTGGAAGGGCTGCTTGAAGGCAGTTGCTCATGAACCTGTACTCACTTCCTAGCCCTATTGCCATAAAAAAAAAAAAAAAAAAAAATGAAGGCACAGCTAGGAAGGAGTAAGCGTCTCATTGTTTCAATCTGCTAGAATAAAACCCTCATCATTTTGTCATTGGAATATGTGACAGGCAGAAGTGCCTTACTGCCTGCCTGCTCCATACAGGGTATGCAGAAGTGAGACCTGCCAGTCAGCACCAAGAGTCAGCCCTGAACAATCCCATTCCAGGAGAAAACTTATCCCAGAGGCTCGAGAGGCTGAGGCAGAAGGATCACAAGTTCAAAGCCAGCCTCAGCAACTTAGCAAGGTCCCAAGCAACTCAGCAAGACCCTGCCTCAAAGTTAAATATTAAAATGGGCTTCGGGGGAAGGCACCTCTGGGTTCAATCTCTGATACAAAAAGGGGGAGGGGGAGAAAACTCATAGCACTTGCACAGGTATATATTTAACCAATCTAGCTCTCTATTCACAATTAAAATGTATATACACAGATCACCAGAATTTTGAGAGAAAAAATGAGAGGCGTGGGGCTGGGATGAACAAATATAAGTGACCCCAGAAAAATTTAGATAACATTTGTGAAAATTATGAAAACTTTCTTAAAAAGTCTATATAAGTTTATAGAAATATTCAAGAAGAGCCGGGAGCAGTGGCACATGCCTATAATCCCAGCAGCTCAGGAGACTGAGGCAGGAGGATCATGAGTTCAAAGCCAGCCTCAGCAAAAGCGAGGTGCTAAGCAACTTGGTGAGACCCTGTCTCTAAATAAAATACAAAATAGGGCTGGGGATGTGGCTCAGTGGCCGAGTGCCCCTGAATTCAATCCCTGGGGCCAAAAAAAAAAATCAGAAATATTCAAGAACATACTGCATCCACAGAACAAGAACAACATTTTGTTTACAAAACAAAGAGAGATTAATAGAGAAATAGCAGCAACTGGTAACCATTAACAGATTAAAAACAAACCAAAGACAAAAACCTCTGGTGAAAGATGAGAAGAAACAGTCAAGGAACCCTCCCAGTTTGAGCAAGGGCCAGCCCTCCGGTGTCAACTATGAATCCATGCTGACAGCACCTCAGTCTCTTCTTGTTAGGAGAGCTGAATAACAAAACCCTGCTTGTTGAAACCACAGTGTTCTATTATTTGTAGCTTAAAATAGCCCTAGCTCATTTGAAAATTAAAACTAAAAGAATTTCCTGGATCTCAATTTCCGTTTGTTTTTTTTTTTTTTATGAAGAGACTAGACTAGGTATTCAGTAAATAATAAACATTCAGATTCTACAAACTACTAAGGATGGAATACAGAGCTGGTCTTTCTTCAGAGTGCTAAAAGTCGTAACTTTGGGAACTTAATCCTTCTCAGTAAGCGAGTCCTATCGTTCATCTATGCAATAGCTATTCATTAAGCACCAACCCTACATGAAGGGTGCTGGGTGCTAGGGCTAGGGCTAGGGAACAGCTGCATGGGGTTTTTAGTGTAGGGAGGCAGACAGACATTGCTAGACCAGTAACTTAACAGAGCCACCACTGTGGGAGCCACCAAGGAAGAGCGCACAGTGCCTGGGGCGTGTACCTGCCGCAGCATACCTCTGATAGGGGTGTCAGATCGTGATGGCTCTTTCCTCCAGGATGGGACAAAAACCTTGATGTAGGTGTGACCTCTCTCCCTGAACCAGTCCACAGCCAGCTGGATTCCCCGGCAAGAGAAGGCTTCTTTATTTCCATGGCTATAATGGGAAAACAAAGAAAGCTGACGACACCCAGAGAGTGTTGGTTCCTAGGAGTGACTTCCCTGGGAACATTCTGGACCCAATCTCATAACCAAGAGGGAAGCAGGCAAATCTGAATTTTAAAGATAGTTCTCTGCATAAACTATAGAACTATAGCCTTTAATTAGAACCAGGCTCCTGGTGATACATACATACAGGATCCCTTGCTCCAAGGGAGAAATATTCCAAGGATTAATAGACTAGATCAGCTCTTTAGCTAAGCTAAAAGGATCAACATAAAATGGAGCAGAGCCATCTTCAGGATTACTCTCACCCAGAGATGGTTATAAGTGCATTCATTTCTCAAGTCCAAGCAGGGAAATCAGTGCCCCATCAATGCCACTGAAGACATTGATGAGGCAGCAAGGAAAGAGCGGTGTGGGAATGGGCAGGGACTGGTGGGCCTCATCAAAGGTACTCCTCCTTTCTCCTAAGAAGCCCAAGAAGCCCTGGAAGGATTCTAAGGCGGGAAGTAGATGTGATGTGGTGATGTGACATGATCCGATGTACATTTCTCAAAGATCAGTCTGGCAGCACCAAGGACAATAGAAGGGCAAGAGCAGGTATAGGTACCCATTTAGAAGCTGTAATAATTGACGGTGACTTGGACTCGGGAGCTGGTGTTGGGTGAGGGAGAGAGCAGGTGGACTTGAGAGGCATCTGGAGGGTAAAATCTCCAGAACTCCATTTCTGACTGGATACAGTGAAAGTGGACAGTGGGTTGATCCCTGGCACAGGGATTCTGAGAGGGAAAGATCACTTATAGGTTTGGTTTTGGACACCTACTGAGTAGAAGGCTTTGTGACCCCTGAGTGGAAACGCTAAGTGACCAGGGAGGGTTCAGAGGTCCAGGTGGTAAGTTATAGGTCCACTGAGTTTAAACACTAATTGAAGCCACAGCATGGAGCAAATGATCTGACTGCCGGAGAGGAAGCAAGAGGCCCAGGCTGGCCACGAGGAACCCTGCGCTGCGTAGCTGAGGAGAGAGCAATCCTACCCAAGGGACAGAATGGATCTATCAGAGGAAGAGGGAGCCGGCTGGGTGCTGTATCACGGAAGCCAGCGGGAGGAGGCAGCCAAATGCTCTCCCAGGGACTGGCGAAGCCTGAAGGCATCCATCCAACTTAGCCAATGGGGGTCAGTGGTGTTTTGCTGGAGAGGGACAAAATGGGTATATATGAGAAGGCAAAATCTACTAGACTAGCCACGGGACCTTTGTACCAGGTATTCCTTCCTTCTCAGCCCATCCACTCTTCCTCCTCCTTCCAACCTCAGCTGCACCTTTTTTTTTTTTTTTTTTTTTTGAGTTGAGGTGTCCCTGTGTTTCTCAGATGATCTCAAACTCCTGGGCTCAAGCAATCCTTCTTGCCTCCTGCCTCATCCTCCCCAGTAGCTGGGACCAAAGATGCATTGCACCTGCTTTTGGCTGCTTCTTCAATTTCTTGGGACAGTGTCTCCTGACCTCCTAGACTGTCAGGTCCCCTGTTCCAAGCACCAGTAGTGCCAAGCCACTCTCCCTGGCTCTTAAGAAGGTTCATCCTCAGCCAGGGGTCAACTGGGCCTCTCTCTGCTCTACATCACGGGTCCCCCTTGATCACCACTGAGTTCCCAACACCTGGCCCTGTGCCTGGTAATTGGTAAGGGATCAATTGAATTTGTGGGTAGACCAATGACTGAGAAAAAAAAAAAAAAAAAACCCAAAAACTAGCTGTGTCAGCAGCTGGAGAAGGAGAAGCCCAGAAAAAAGGGACAGTTCCCTGGAAAGACCCTGATGCAGGTGGGACACGGCATGCTCCAGGGACAGAAGCGAGAGCATGTGGAATGAACAAAGGGGAGACAGCCGCAGGGACAGGGTCCTGAGGGCCTGAACAGAAGCAGCCAGCCCACTTCCGACGGGACTACACCCAGTGTCCCTCCCAGTGCTTTCCTGTGTGTGTGACCTTCCCTACAAGTTTCTCAGGAGGCTCAGGACAGTCACAAGTTTGTAAAGCAAGAGAGGAAGGACGACCCTGGAAGCGCTGGTCAGCCGTGCTGGGTGGCAGGCCTGTGGAGCCGGAAGAAGCCACACACGCTGCCAGGTCTGGGACTCTCCTCTGGCCAAAGAGCAGGCCCTAGGAGGTGTGTGCAAACAGAAAACAGAAAGTGCTGATGGGATATGTGTGGAAAAAGGAAGAGGAGGTGGAGCACTGACCCCCTGCCCTGCAGAAGGCAGAGGAAGATGGGAGGATGAGAGGTCATTCACGTGGTCACTCAGCCCCTCGCCCCACCCTGCTCCTCCCCGCTGAGCCCGAAGAGAAGGGGAAACATCAGTGTGGGTGTGAACAGGAGGAGGAAGCCTCCTGTGTTTTCCAGCTTCAAACCCCCCAGAGAAGCCTCGTGTCTGCAGGGCGGCCTTGGAAGGAAGTAGCCTATAGGTGATCCCACAGCGACACCCAAGTCCCCTGCAGGCCCCAGGCCTGGTGGGTTAGAAGAATCCTAGGGTGGACCAGGAGGCACCTACCAGGAGGAGGGCATTTTAAGTCAGCATGGCCCCCAGGGAGCCTGGATGGGACCAATGATACTCCCACCCTCACCCAGCCACTCTCGCAGAAGAGCCCCGAGGGACAAGACCCCCTCTTCCTGCCAACACCAGGTCTCAAAGCCCCCAGAGGCCATTTGGGAGAAGAGCACAGGGAAGGAGGGGAAACACGGAGCCTGAGTCTTGGGAAAGACAAGACACAGACATCTGCAGACCCTGGAAAATGTCAGGCTGGCCCTTCCCCTGCTGAAGAGCTGGGGAAGAGATTATGTCTGTCACAGGAAAAGAGGTGCATTTTCTGTGCACATGGCAGTACTGTGGGCAATGGACCACCCACCCCAGCACACGCATCTGTTGACTGCACCAATCCATTCTGTCCATTCCAAAGTAAAAATGTCACTACTGCAGTTATTTTAAAAACCATTTGTTAACTGATCTCTTTCCCAGGGCTCTTCACAGATCTGTTTGAACCACTCAAAAGCCAACGTTCACTCCCGACATTTTCTGTGGGTATATGATTAGTGGGGGCCAGGGAGGACATTCAGTGGTGAGGGAGAGGGAGGGAAAGAAGCCCTGGCAGAGCTCCCAGTCAGGCTGAAAGGCACGGACAGTCCCTCTGGGGTCCCTGTCCAGCATCCACTGGGAAACACAGAAGCCAAAGGCTCCCGTTCCTCTGTGCTTCCTCACAGCCTCTGCATGGATTCGTGGACATCTTCCACACAAGGCTGTGGCCGGCCTGTCTGCCAGGTCACTTGGCACATTCATCTCATTTAACTATTACAAGCTTTTGAGGAAGTGACCTGTACCCCCCATTTTACCCTTGAGGAAACAGAAGCAAAGAAATGTTCCCGGCTCTCTGTTGAAGTGTCAGACCTCCAAATGCAAACTCATTCCCTCTTGGCCCCAAGACCCCTAAGATCCAGAGGGCAGCTCTTTTGGAGCAAAAATGTTGCCTGCGGTTTAAATGCTCTTGCTGAGCCAGGCGCACGCCTATAGCCCCAACGGCTCAGGAGGCTGAGGCAGGAGGACTGTGAGTTCAAAGCCAACCTCAGAAAAAAGCAAGGCCTAAGCAACTCAGTGAGACCCTGTCTCTAAATAAAATACAAAATAGGACTGGGGATGTGGCTCAGTGGTTGAGTACCCCTGAGTTCAATCCCCAGTACCCATCCCCCAAAATGTTACTGGGGTGGTGGCAGGGCCCTTCATGGGGTTATGAGCAGGCACCAGGAACCAGCTTCTCAGGCAGCCTGCTGAGAGGCCTAGGGGAAGAGGAAAGGGGAAGTGGGTCGGCGCCTTAGGCAAATTTCTACTCGACAATTGTGCCTGGGGCAGCTGCAGATAGGGTGTTGTCATTTCCAGAAACTAATTGTACACCCCTGTATCCCTGTATCTATGTGGAATTTAGAGGTCACCAAACAGCCCTATGGGAAGGGAAGAAAGAAAGAGATGAACAATGGTCCATTAGTGGTTTGGGATGTAAAAGGACACCACCAGTTTCACTCTTGTTTCTTATTTGAGGTCAAATTACCAGCATGTCAAACCTTAGTCAGTGGATCTCTGCCAGATCCAGTCAGGGGAAAGAGAGAGGGTGAGCAGGGGCTGCCCGCATCATAAGAGAACTAGGTGCAGACTTAGGTAGGAGCCCAAGGCTCAAGTTAGCAGAGGAAGACAGGTGGGATTTCAGCCTGAACTCTCTTCACCGAATGATTCCTTCCTCCAGAAGCCAGAGTCCACCAGATGGTCTAAGTTTAAAAATTAAATAACAACCCAAAACAAAAAGTCCAATACACCCCAAACAAGACATGCTCAAATGGAACCCTTCTCTGGGGCAGGAAGAGGAGGTAAAGTTTACCAGGTGGCTTCCCGCCAAACTCCACACTCCCAATCCCCCCTTGTTTCTTGATTTGCCTACAGGATGTAAACAGGTTGGACACTTGTGAGTTTGCCACTCCCAACTCTCACAAAGAAATGCTGCGCCCGTGGCTACCAAGAATCTGTGTTCTTCCAAATACCAAGATGCAGCTTCTAACAGGATTTCAAGGAAAGCCACCTCTTTAAAACGTTGCTGTAGATTTTTCTTAAGGCCTTGTGTCCTCAGTTATTCTCTCTCTCTCTCTCTTTCTGTCAAACACACACACACATACACACACACACACACACACACACACACCTTGAAGGTACAGGAATTGTACTTGAGAATTGTCTCTGGGATGCTATTCCATCAGTGTCACCAATGAACGCACACATGTCACCTGCAGGTCCCCAGTCTTGGTGGCAGCAAGAGTAGATCCCAGGTTCTAGCCCTGCAGGACCCTGGTGAGGGGAGTGGGGGGCCTCACGCCTCCATCTACAGCTGCCAGGTCCAGGGCTCATCCTGCTTGGGCAGGGCTCTGGTCAGCACAGGCAGGCTCTGGCCCCAGGACAAAGGCCCAGGGTCAGGATCTCCCACCCTCTGGCCAGACGGGGAAAAAAGCCATTGGATGTGATGGGAGGCTTTGGAAACAGCACAAAATCCAGAGCTGGCACTTACTGCTCTGGGACCTTGGGAAAGTTATTCGCTCTCTCTAAACCTCTGAAGAAAAAGAGAAGTCCCTTTATAAAAGAAATTCCACTTATATCTTTCTACCACACAAAATAATCACCTGGAATCTCAGCATATCAGAGATGAAAAAAGCCAACCTCTTAATTATCCAGCTCTTAATCGTGTAACTGTGTGAACAGGACCCAAGAAAGTCAGGGATTTGCACAGTTGGTAAAGAAAAGCCAGAGCTCCTCTCTCCATGTGTGGCCTGTGGGCCTGGCTCCTGGGAAACCCTGTGCAGGATACAGAGACATCACAGTGGGAGAACGGGCAGGGAACCGAGTGCAACCTTGGGCCCACCCTCTCCCAGAACTTGCATTTCAAGGGAACAAATTCAGTTCCCTGAACAAGTGGTTATTGTGCAATTTCTCTTTTTCCTAACTATTGGGACCCAAGGGGCAGGGGGAAGGGATGTTTGTGGGTGTGTAAGCCCGTGTGTGTGCGAGCGTGTGCATGTGTTCATGCGTGTGAATGTGTGTATGTGTGCACGTGCATGCACCCATATAGAGAAGGCATATTGGTTGATCAGGTGTTTTGTAGGCCCCAGGTGTGTGACAACATCCAGGCTCTAACACATTCTTTGCAGTATGTCTGAGTAATGGTTTCCATTTATATCCCACAAAGATTGAGCGAGAGAGGAGCAAACTGATTACAGGTGTGAGACTAGAGCTGGAGGTGACGGGAACAAATGGATTCACCCAGGACATTTCATGGTCATGTGCAAATAGAAGCTGTAGTTTAAGTTTGAATTCTAGGCAACAACAGAGACTCCCATCAAAAGAAAACCCTCCATGGCCACACTATCAGAACGCTAAAATTCTTCTCTAGCCCCCAAGGAGAGAATGCCTATGGCCTCTGAAGTCATCTGTTTTCCCTATAGCTATTCTGCTGTTTCGACTTGAAACAGTGGATTCAAATAATCTTCTGGTTGGGAAGATCTTTGATTTATGTAATATCATCCTATAACCAAAACCCTCTTAGCAGGGCATGGTGGCACACACCTGTAATCCCAGCTACCTGGGAGGCTGAGGCAGGAGGATCAAAAGTTCAAGGTCAACCTAGGCAACTTAGTGAGACCCCGTCTCAAAATAGAAATTTTTAAAAACAGGGTTGGGGGATGTAGCTGCTGGATTCTAAAATTACTTAAACAATCCATAAATCTTAAACTTAGCAGGATTTCATAAACTCCCCTGTTTGGTGCTTGCTGGGGATATGAGTTAGAACATGAGTGTGACCTGGTGGAGCAGCTCCTAAGTCCAAGAGGGCAGCGGGGACTCAATCACCTGCTAATATAACCAAGCTCAGAGAGATGGAGCTGTCTAAAAACAGAACAAACATTTGGTACACACCACACAGGGTGTATAGGGACAGTCCCTGAGGCTGGGCTGTGTGGGGTGAACCATTTCAAACTTGTGTCCTGCAATGCCAAGTCCAAAGTGAGCTCCAATCCCCAGGGACAGCTTGGGGATGCCTGACACTTTTGGAGCCGCTGATAACTGCTTTTCCAAGCTCCTACTCAGCTTCTACAAAAGGAAGTGCAAGTGTGTACAGCTGTGAGTGAACAATTTCCTATGACTCTGCCCTTTGCCTGCCTGTAACTAAGCCAAGTGGTAGAATAATCCATTGGTTTGGGCAATGCCCCTCCTCACCAGCTCGAAGTGCAGGAGGCTGCAGACTGGCAGTGGAGTTCAGTCAAGCTGGCACCATAACCACATAGGGCATGATGCTCACACCCCTGAAACACAGGAAGATGCCAAGACCCAAATGGGCACACTGCCTCTCCGCAGCATAAGGCGGGAGGGGAGGACCACAGACACTTCTGTCAAACCTAGCAAGGGGACTGCAACCTCACCGCCCAGCAACCCCCAGCAGAGGGTTCCCAGCACCATTCAAATGCTTCTTCCCATCTGAGTCTCATAACCCACAGGGAGACAGAAGGGAGGTCTATTGACCTCTTTTGCAGAAGAGGAACTGAGTAGTTTTGCTTTCCCAGAGTCACGCAACCAGTTAGGGACAGAGTCCAGAGAAAAAGCCACATCTGTTAACACCTGACCCCAAGTCCTCCCCATTACCCACTACCTTCCCCAGAAGAAGCAGCTCCTCTGGGTGAGTGTAATAATATCACCCACTTGAACACTCACTCTGCATCAGCTCCAATCCTCACAACATCCTCCAAAGAGGGTGAAATCCAACATTACAGAGGGAGAAAGTGAGGCTCAGAGAGATTCAGTGACATACTTAAGGCCACACAGCTACTCAGGAGATGTAATAGATTCAAAGCCCAATCCACTAGCTCCAACAGTCTTTGGACCAAACCAAAGAGAAGGGGTGGTTCTCAGGGCTCCTGAGAATAGGTCCCTCACCCTGCCTCCCACCGTAGGTTGAAAGAAATCAGGAAAGCTACCTCATTGCCACATTGCTGCCGTCGATCACTATGGGACGCAGGGAGCTGGCCAAGTCTCCACAGTCCTCTTCTAGGGCTGACCTCAAGCCCCGCTGGGCAGAGTCTGGGACTCCACAGGAGCCCCGGGGAACGAGCAGAGGCCCAGTGCTGCTGGCAGGGCTCTCCTGGGCCCCAGGGCGGCTGCCCGTCTGGATCAGTTCCTGCAACACGTCATTGACCAGGGCACCATCTCCCAGCTTGCCCAGCACCCTGACCACATCCTCCCGGCTGTAGCCCAACTTCTGGAAGAACTCCATCTTGCTCGGGCGCTCCATACTGTGCCAGCCACCTCCTGGCGTGGGTCCTGCCCCCAGCTTCCTCCTGGCAGAGCCCCACGGGCATGAGCTAAAGAGAAAAAGTGCCCATCAGGTAGTTTCCGGGCAGTCTGGCACCCAGGATGCCAGGTGACCGAGAGTAAGTTGTATATGTGCTCCCTCCCTCTGACCTTATCTGTCAGGAAATCATGTCAAGCCTAGTCCCCCATGGGGATTTTCAGTTGCTCAGTGTGGTTTGTGGAGTCACAGATACAATCACACTGCTTCTACTATGCATTCTCTGTGGCTGTCACCCCAGCGCACCTGTGCAGGGAACAACAACCCGACTCCAGGGTGACAGTGGCTGAGCAGGGAACCCACAAGTTGGGACAGGCCAAGGAAATATTTCTGAGGCTTTGTTACAGGTTGAATGGTTTCCACCCAAATTCCCATGTTGAAGCCCTTAGCCTCACCCCGCCATACCTCAGAGCGTGACTGTATTTGGAGACTGAGCCTTTAAAATGAGGTTGTTAGGGTAGGCCTCCTCCAATGACTGTGTCCCTGCAAAAGGAAATTTGGACACAAACACACATGGAAGGATGACCACATAAAGATTCAGGGAAAAAGGCAATCATCTGTGAGCCAAGAGTCAGGGCTCAGGAGGAACCAGCCCTCAGATCACCTGGATCTGGGACAGTGGATTTCCAAGGTTCCTGCTCCAGTCCCTGGTGCTCTGTTAAGGCAGATGAACACAGGCTCCTGGGTTTACACAGGGAGAAATGCCCTCTGGAAAGTTCTATCTCCCGAAAGACAATGCTCCCACCCAACCATGTGCTTTGGCACAACTTTAATTCAGACCACACTGAACCTTGAAGATAGAAAGTCCTAACTGGTATTTGACGGTTTCCCCTCCAGGTACCCCTGAGGATGATGGGAGGGGGGACTGTAGCCTCAGAGATGCTGTCAGAAGGGACATGACTAAACCAATAGGAACACTCCAGACAAACTGGGCCTGTCTCTCTTTTCTACCACAAAGACCTTCATCTTACACCTTTCAAAAAACATTTAGAAATACAGACGTAACTTTGAAAACACATTTGCTGTGAACAATTTGAACAATGTCAAAGTATAAAGAGCAATGCACATAGCACATCCGTGGTGCCTCTCCTGCCAATGATCTGCTCCCTCTCTCTAGCACGTTCTCTGCACTGCTCTGCATGTTACCAGATAACAAAGCCGGCTTTAGGACTGTTTTGCTTGATTTGTACAGAAATGATACCATACTGTATATAAAAGCAATGTACTTTTCTTATCAAAAATGCCTTTTGGAATCTTTCCCTGCCAAGTTACCTGTTCTGCTGACCACTGTGTATGCCCAGCATCTAGAACAATGCCTGGCACAGCCGAATCCCAATGCATAGTTGTTGATTAACGAATGAATGAATGTGCTATCCAGCATTTAACCCTAAATCAAACCATGGAAACCATAGATTGCCTTTGGTTTTTCACTGTTAGCAAATCCTGCACGCTGAAGATATTTGTGCATCTTCTTTTCACCCCATCCTCTTCTCGGCATTTCGAGCTCCTCGCCTTTAGATGCTATCTCTGATCTGCAGCAGTCATGCCTCTGTGGTAGGTTCCCACCTCAACTCTCCCTGTAGTGCAGGAATCAGAGCACGGCTAACAATGTCAGGGTTCCGTGGGGGAAGGGCATTTCACAGCCAACTTTCTGGGCAGAGAGGCCTCCACTGCAGCCCCCACCTGCCTGCTTCCGAAATCCCACCTCGGCCACTGACAACGGGCCTCCCAACTGGAACACTAAATCTCCCCCGCAAGGTCACCAGTTCCTTCTAACTGAAAATCCATCCGAATCTTCACAATCCTTGCCTACGACCTCCCTGCCACTTTTGACACCGTGGACTCACTCACTCTCCAAATTGTCATTTTAAATTTTTAAAATTATGAGCTGTCCCCAACTTGAAACTCTCTGTTCCCCCAGGTTGCATAACTTGGCCTGTCTCTCCTCCTGTATGTTTCCAGTTCTTTCTCTGCTCCCTCCATCAGTGTTGGGGTCCTGCCCAGGCCCTCTACCCGTCCCTATATTCCCATGGGTCCCACAGCTTCACATCTGGCTCCCACCTCTTATGGAGCACCAGGCACACACACAGTTATAAATCCATGCAGTACATGCCAGGCATGCGGTTTAAGCAAAATGCAACAGAACTCAAAACGCTGTCGATCAACAGACATTTGTTAAGTGTCTACTTTAGTTTTTCTCAAAATGAACTCCAGGGAAACTTGGGAGACCCCAAGCCATTTTCAGGGAGTCTGTGAGGTCAAAACTACTTTCATAATAATGCTAAGACATAATTTGTTTACTTCATTCTCAACCTCTCAAGAGTATACAATGGAATATTCCAGAGACTACATGCTGTGGATATTGCAGCAGTTTAAATGAAGAAGCAGATATGAGAATCCAGCTCTCATCTATTAAGACAGATATTAAAGAAACTTGCAAAAAATAAGTCAATGTCACTCTTCTTACTAACTTTTATCTTTTTGGAAATAGAGTTATTTCTCATAAAAGCATGTCATTTAATGTAATCGATTTATTGCTATTTAAAAGTAAATGAATTTAAAAAATTAGTTTCTAATAAAGTAGACAGATATAATCTTCATAAGGAAAAGCTCTTGGGGTTCTGAAAATAAAAGTTTCTTCTTAAATCCAGACTGTTCCTAAGATATTTCCACATATGTGGTTCCATGTAGGGAGCCTGGAGACCGGTGGTTCTCCTCCTCAGTCCCAGGCAAGGAAGCCCAGTATGTCCCCCCTTCAGTCAGGAGGTCTCAGGCCCACCTCCCGTAGCTCACCTGCCCCCCACTACTCTGCAGTCTCCTTGGTTCCTTCCTCACCCATCTGCCTGTGGCTGGCTTGGAGCCAGCATTTCTAACACAGATCTAGCCACAGCAGCCCCTGCCCACGGGTGTCCTCCCCACCCTGGGCCCTTGATGACTACAACACAGATGCCAAATTCCTAAGCAGGCTGAGCAGCTGCATCCCGTATGCTCTGACCCTGACTAAGTCACAGTCACCAATGGCCCACCTGGCCCTTTCTCTAGAGACACACTGAATTTATCCCTGCTTCCTAAGTATTCCAGAATGTTCTCATGCACATACTCTTTTGGGCTTCGCAAACATCAAGATTCAGCTCACACATCACTTGGAAAGGGCGTGTGATTGTGACCCTGGTCATCTCATCTACCACAGCCCATGACCTTTGCTGTCACACGTCAAATCATCATGTATATGTTTCCCAAGAGACTGAAGGATTCAGTATTCTGACCTACTCATCTCTCAGTCCCCAGTACCTGGCATGGTGCCTTGTGTATTTAAGGGGTTTATTAGATATTTCTTTAATAAATCACCAAAATATATATTCTCTCCTCAAATAAATTTTTCTCCTTGGGTTCCCAATCTGATTGAACAGCATCCCCCAGAGGCCCAAAGAAAACATCTGGAAGTCCTGTGACTCCTCTCTCTCCCTCACATCTACATCTGACGGATCGTTACCTATTTCTGGGCATTTCCCATAACTAACCTCCCTCGGTGCTCATTCTGCCACCGCCCCGGTCCACTCACTTCTTCCTGGAACAAATCTTGATTGATCGCTTACTCTGCACCAGCACTGTGCCGGGGCCCAGCTCCATAAAAACAAAACAAGACACAATCCAGTTTCAACTTGTTCACAGTCTATTCAGGAAAAACAGAACCCAAAAATGTAAACAAGAAATTGTGAAGATAAGGGCAATTCTTTTAATTAAAAAAAAATGCGCATTCAAAATACAAGTGAGAAATGACTCATCTTCCATTGAAGGCAAGGACGGGCCCCTCACAGAACTGGGCAACAAAGGAAGGGCTGCACCATCACTCTGGGGACTCCTGGGAAGCCTCCGATGGTGCTCCAGCACCCCACACTTCACCACTCACTGCACCCCACCCAGACAGTCCACGGCTCAAACACTTCCATGTCCCTCCATCCTGTGCAGAGTAAAGGCCAAAGCTCTTCTGCATGGGAGTCATGCCCTTGCAATCGGGTTTCATCTACCTCCTATCTCTTGTCCACAGGCCTCTGGTCGAGCCTTGTGTCTCTCTGTGACTAGTGACCACTTCTCTCCAGACCATTGTTCCCTCTGGCTGGGGTCTAGCTTTGGACCAAACTCCAGGCAGGAAGAAGATTTTTATAACAAACTGACAGTCCAGCTTCACACCAGGGGTCACGCAGTGACCCAAAAGGCCTTTATTCAGGTTCCTTCTCCCACCTAGAACATGGGTCCCTCCACCAAGCTAAGCCCACTCCTGTGGGAAGGCAGCATAGATACAGGTATTCTCCTTACCCAGATGAGGAAACAGAGGCTCAGGTTGGAACGGAATGATGGTTCTATAGCTAATAAATCTCAGAGCCTGACAATCAGTATGTCTCCAAAATAGCTTGTCAGTTTGAATAGCACTCAGGATGAAGGTGGCATCTCATTGCAAAAATGGAAAGCAAGAATACAACTGTTCAGCTGGGCGTGGTGGTGCACACCTGTAATTCTAGCGGCTCGAGAGGCTGAGGAAGGAGGAGAGTGAGTTCAAAGCCAGCCTCAGCAAAAGTGAGGCACTAAGCCACTCAGTAAGAACCTGTCTCTAAATAAAATACAAAACAGGGCTGGGGATGTGGCTTAGTGTTCAAGTGCCCCTGAGTTCAATCCCTCGTACCAAAAAAAAAAAGAATACAACTGTTCAGGTGACTTTTCTTTGATCACAAAGGAACAGATATGAGTAGAATTTGTTTATTTTATAATCTTTCATTCAGATGTGACAAAAACATGAACAATTCTAAAATGAAAAGACGTGGTCTTTGACCTGGGCAGGCAGGCAGAGTGACCACACCAGGTCCTTGTTCACAGCTGAAGTTTTCCACGAAGCCCAGAAGTTACCACCCAGGGCTCCTTTTCTGAGGATTGTCAAAAAGATTATGCATGGGACCAGACAGCTGTTTTCACACAAAATTAACACAAAGAATTCACCTACTTCGGAGAGTCCTCCCTACCCCCATCCCAACCCTGGAACTTTAAAATCAACTTCCTTTCCTTTTACAACGAATTTCTTCTAATAAGGGAGTAACCAGGGTCAGGGGTTGTTCTCAGGAGCTTCCCTGGGCCTTTGGGTGACAATTTCCCCTTGGATGCAGTGGTCCATGAGCTCCCATCCCCCAGCTGCTTGCTGGGTCTTTCTATTTTTAAGATCTGAAAGTCTGAAGAACTTTATCTCCGTTTCCTTCCTCAATCTTGACTGGAAGTCACAAACAGCAGATTAGTAACAAAATCTTCAAGGTTGCCTCATGAGCTGGCCCAGCGGTCAGCATCCCACGGCTTTCTTCCTTATGGTCAGTCAAGGCGACCGCACCCTGGACTCGGTGTGGAGCCCAGTGTCAGAGCCACCTATCAGGACAGCCAAGGGAAGTGGGGCAGATTTCGCAGGTGGAACAAGGTAGTCAGGTCAGATCTGTTTCTTCTAGAATCAGCTGACCTAGGTTGGGGACCTTGGGCCAAAAAAGGTCTGGGGCGCTGACGACTGAAAGAGGAAGAAAGAGGGAAAGGAAAGCAGAGAACCAGCAGCGCCCACGTGCACGGCGCCGTCTGTATTGCAAGAGGAAATCGCACCTTCCCTGGGAAGCCGAATGTGCTACCTCATTCCTCAGAATGCAATTGAGGAAACAGGAAAAGACAGGCTTTGCTGACAGCTGGGACCCACAGCTGGCCAATGGGAAAGACCCGGCCGTGAGGATTGACGCCCAGGTCGGAGGGCGCCCCCCAGCGGCCGCCTCAGGCCGTAGCGCCGTTCTGGGTGGCCTCTGCCAGCGCTAAATCCATGACCTTAGGTCCGCTGGAAGTCCTCCAAGTCGGCGTGTTCCCAGTTTCTCTGCAGAGTCCAGGCAGAAGTTTGGGGGTTCAGCTCAGATCTTCAGGCTCTCATTGGAGTTGTCAGTTCAATTTTGAGGAAGTCACAGTCAGGCAAGGATTGCAGCCCAAAGGACTGGTGGTTTGACTGTTTTTTTGTTTTTTGGGTTTTGTTTTGTAATTTTTTAAATTTTCAAAAATTGTGATAAAATATAGCCAAACATAAAGTTTACCACTCTAATAATTTTAAATGTATGAGATCTGTAGCATTAAGTACAACTAGTTGGACAACTCACCACCATCCCCAGAACTCTTCACCTTGCAAAACCAAGAAATATAATCAAGAATCAATAAATGGGATGGACTCAAACTAAAAAGCTTCTCCTTGGCAAAAGAAACAATCAATGAGGTGAAGAGAGAGCCTACATTTTGGGAGCAAATTTTTGCCACATAGAGCTCTAATCTCCAGGACATATAAAGAACTCAGAAAACTTAACATCCCCTCCCCCCAAAAAAAAACCAATTAATAAATGGGCTAAGGAGCTGAACAGACACTTCTCAGAAGAAGATATACAATTGATTAACAAATATATGAAAAAATGTTCAACATCTCCAGTAATTCGAGAAATGCAAATCAAAACTACTCTCAGATTTCATCTCATGCCAGTCAGAATGGCATTTATCAAAAATACAACCAGCAAAACCAAAACTCCGGACCCATTAAACTCCTGGCTCCGGCTGCCCACCAGGGCTAGTGACCACTGCTGGACTATCTCAATGAGCACAGCCCCTTTAGGTCCCACCAGTGCAATTAGAAAGCGCTTGTTCTTGGTTTATTTCACTTAGTGTAGTTTCTTTGAGGTTCATTCATGCTGGAGCAAATGTCAGAATGTCCTTTCTTTCCGAGGCTGAATAATAATCCGCTGGGTCTGTACAGCACACATTGTATCAATCATTCATCCACCGATGGGCACTTGGGTTGTGTTCACCTCTTGGCTGCTGTGGAGAATGGGGGTGTGCTGCCTGGCCTTTCATTTTCCCCTCAGAGCCAGTCCCCTGCTCCCCTGTGTGGCTGTAGGTTGTGGAGGGGCATACACACAGGTATTTACAACCTTGATCCACATCCCAGAGCACCTCTCCTGCATTCTGCATCCTGACCTAGTCACATGGCAGTCAAGAAAAGTCCATAATTGCAGGGGATGGGGGCAAAGCTGAGATTTCTAGTAGCTCAGCTGAGATTTCTAATATCTTCACCTCAATCAAATTAAGACTTAGTTCAATTTTCTCAGTAGCTTGCTTGACGCCCACAGAGCCCTCCTCTAGAAGAATAGTGTTTGGGGCTGCTGCCAAAACTTCTGGATCTAGTTTTCTCCCAGAAAAGCTGAACTACCTTCTCCCAGAAAACTAGAGGCCTATGAACCAAGTTCTAGACAGTCGATGCTTTCATGAGCATGGAGACAGGGTAAAAAGAATTCCACTCCTTCTGATTTCATAACATTAACATATCTGTAAACAGGGCTTGCTGGGTACAGTGGGAAATGCCTGTAATTCCAGAGACCTGGAAGACTGATGCGGGAGGATCTTAAGTTTGAGGCCAGCCTCATCAAGTTAGAGAGACCCTGGCTCAAAATTTAAAAAACAGGACTATGGATAATGCTCAGTGGTAAGCACACCTGGGTTCAATCCCCATTAGCACCCCCACACACACACGGAGGGCTTTGTTAAAACACCTGCAAACAGTCTACTTAACTATAAAGCTTAATCATTCCCCCATAAAAATCTTTGCTAAAATTGAGCAAAACTTGTGCGTAAAGGAAATTAAAGATGCTTACCTTGTTTTTTTGAGCACTTAAAATAATTTCAGGTGTGAGAAGTCATATTGTTCAGGAAAATATTCACCCAAGTTCTGCTCTCCAACCTGCCCTCCTCTTGCCCTGAGATTCTGGACTCTCTCCTCCCGCCCACTTGGCTGAAGTCTGCACAGGGCCTGCCACGTTGACTGATGGCCCGGGCACTTGCACTTACCAGCAGGGTGTGTCCCTCCGGTTCTCAGCTGCCTGTAGCCTTCACGCTGATGCTCTCCAGCCAGTAAGGGACCCAGCTCCCCCAGAGGTCCCTGGAGTCAGAGGAGGGCAGTAGGCCTGGTCCACACTACCGCTAGAAGCTACTGTATGCCAATGCTGCACTTCCTGTGCAAGAAGCCACGTTCCCCTGCAAAGGTAGTTCAGCTTTGAGTTCAAAAAAAAGGAAAGGAAAAAAGCAATCAGATGTGGGAGGAGGGAGGAGGAAAAGAAGTTTGCATCTCAGCATGAGTCACCGAATCAAAGTTCAACAGCTACATGCAAAACAAATTCCCCTGAGGGTGGCAGCCTGCTCCCCCCCACACCACACACACACACACACACACACACACACACACACACACACACGAAGGTCAGGAGAGTCCCAGAGGAAAAGGTGAACAATCTGAGGGTAGGCACTGCTGCTCCAGGTTCCCACTCCTGACTCCAACTGGGAAGAACATCTGCTCCTAGAAGCTGCCAGGGAAAGTTGGTGCTCACAGCCACAAGACGACAACTTGCAAAGGAGAGAAGAGAGATGGCTGTGGTGTGCACAGGGGACAGGGGCATGAAGGAGGACTCTGTCCTCCTTCACAAAGAGAGGAGTCTCAAGCAAATCATGGCGTCCTTTGGAATAGGAACCAGGCCTCGGACTCACTCGTTGGCTCACCTCACTGCTGCCCTTCATGGATCAGGTGGCTGCTTCTCTCTCCCTGGGGCAGGTGAAGTCTGACCCAGGCCCACCCAGCCACGGCATTCTTCAGCTGGTCTTTTTGCTGCCAGCCTTAGCAAGTACAGAACTCTGTCTAGTTCCTGAATTTGGCAATACCCAGGTTAAGAGGAAAGATCACAACCACACCATGCAACAGCCCAGCTGTTAACAATCAACAGGGTGGCCAACAGTGACTGACCCAAGGACACAGCCAGCCAGTGGGTCATACCAAATGAGAACCAGGGAGCTGGTGATGAGGAAGTAAGAATGGTACAAGTCAGTTGCTCTACTTTATTTATTCCATCTGTCTCCCAAAGAAGAGTTGAAGCAGTCCAGAATATTCAAACACTTACAGAATGGGATAGACGAAATATAACTCTCGAGCGCAATCAGAAATCATTAGAAGAAAAAGAACATCCTACTAAAAAGCTAGATTAAAATAGTCACCTCATTGAGACATTATAATAGATTTTCTGATAACTACTGCCACTTTTACCATTTATAGTACATTTGATACACTCGATCAAAATATCCCAAGGAAAAATTGTGTCCATTTCGAGATGAGGTCACTGGGGTAGAGACAGGGACCCACACTGCCCAAATTTACTCAGCAAGGGATTGAGTCATGAAAGGTCACTGGGCCCCCAAAACATATTTTTCAGACCATCTATGTTGCCTCTAAGCTCTTAAATCCCAGAGAAAGCATGTAGAAGTTTCAAGAGAAATAAATATTTTCCCAGGGTTAAATTTTAAGGGAAATCTAAATCCTAATGCTGAGTAGCTTAGCAGACAATATCTTCAGCTCCAGCCTCATAGGAAATGCCAGGGTGCTCTCTAAATGCCCGTCCTTCACTGGAAGCCCAAGCAAAAGCTAGTAAGTATGTCGCCTCAAGCCTCATCT